ATTCAGTTTACATTACCGTTTTAAATGCAATTATTTCATCATGTCTGTATAGCCCAGTGTTATAGCACATATGCATCTATGTATTGAATTGTTCCAGGAAATCAAGTTTCTTATTGCCTTGTTCCAGGAAATTGGGTTTCTTATTGCCTTATAATATGAACTCAGCTTGTTGTACAAGAATGTACTTAACACTTTAAAAAAGGTTTTTCTATGATCTCATTACTGTGCGCACTGTGTTATGTGGTAATGGAAACCTCATCAATTACAGGCTGTTCAGTTACATCCTGTGTAATGCAGGGTCACCCTATGGAGCTTATATAGAATTACAGACAAAAGGCCTATTCTCTTCCATATAAGCACAAACCCAAATTAATTTTGAGTCAGACTTGGCAGGATTTCAAATTTCTGCTGCCTGTGTTTGTTAAAAAGAATGAGATTAATGAATAAAATTATTTTATAAGAACGCTGACTTACATCCTAAAAATGTTGCCTCATAATGACACCTATTCTGTGGCCCATTTTGCTCATGGAGATATCCTTTGTGTGAAGCCTTGCCTTCTCTCCTTCTAGTCCAGATTTCAGCCCCTGTCTGGTGCTGTTTGATCTCACTCAGTGCCCAGTAGGTCATGTGTGTAAGCTTTTCCATTGATTTCAGTGGTTGATCTATTGGCCCGAGCATACTTGATTATATGAATTAATAATAGTAAGAAATTATAGTCTGAAAATCATTCCAGTGCAATATGTTGTGCCTGTCTGTTCGGCTACATTCTCTCTGCTTTGTACTTGTACTTACTTCCTGGGGGAATTTCTCATGTATCACATTGCCTGAAGTCAACCCTTGCTCTGATCTGTCACATCTACATCTGTTTGACTCTAACCTGGTCAGGAAGGAATTCAAGAGAGAATTCCCTGGTTTAGGGCTATCAGTGGCAATAAGATGGAACTGACACAGGCCTTCACTTGTCAATAGCATTTTAACTGAATTCCACCAGCAGCTGGAAGTGCTCAGCTTTTCTAAAATCTATGCTGACAGCATACTGTATGAGCTTCTCAAAAATAAAGGTAAGCAGCTTTTCTGCACACAGGAAGAGGCTAATGAGTGAATTTTTCTATTGATTTAAATGGGAGCAGAATTGATTCTCCAGCAGAATTTTAAATGCTTGGTATTAAATATTTTTGCAATGCAGGACTACTATTTTTGCATGTATAATCCACACATCAGATACCTTCATCTATTCATAAGAACCATTTATTGAAAAGTAGTCCTATGATAACCTGTACCCTCAGACAATTCATGCAAAAGCAGAGTCAGCACCAGGGAAGAACTATCAAGTGCTTTTAGAAAGCTGTTAGGATAAAGGAAGCTCTTGTGTAGGTTTCCTTTTAAGCCTTGCATATATGAATAACCCATCCTGCTGCTGTATTGCTATATATATTATTATATTGCTATATATATATTGCTAATATATGAGTATGGCTAATATTTCCATTTCTGAGGTAACCTGTGGAATCTATGCACAGAGATACAGGAGGTGGGGATTGGGGTAGAGTGGTCAGATCAGTTCATATCTGTGAATTATTTATTATCCTTTGTATTATCAGCCATTTGGTACTGGGGCTGTCAAATACCAGGAGAAAATAAAGCAGCCAATCATGTGGAATTGTGCAGAACTTAAGACCTATTCCAGCAGATGATTTTCTACAACTGCTCTCATGGAAGTTGCCAGGTACACAGCATGGATTTGCTAACTTTGGTCATGAGTGTTGTTCCGTGGGCTTCTGTGGAACTGCTGTCAATAGGTGCACAGGAGGTACAAACTAAATACTAAGATTAGGTATTGAAAATGTTTTGCAAAAGGGAGAATTGCTACGTACTTCAGCTGGAGCCAGTTCGCCCACTGTAATGTCATCTTAATGGATTATTCTCTCTACCAATCCAGAAAGACCAAAACAAGCCTTGCTTTCACATAAAAATGCAGGCCTTGTTAAACACAGATTACTAACTTTAAATCCTGCAGTGCTGCTGCAGGAGTATAACTAGCACAGTTTCCAAACATTTAATATTTTCTCAACATTTTGTGACTATTTTTTTCTGAAAAGTTGGATACTGTAATTTCAGAATCAAAATTGTACATAATTCCCAGATTCATTGAGACCTTTTGAGGTTTCCAAAGATCTACTTGCTTATTATCCTAACTGAGAAAACTTTTCTTTCCTTTTAATTTCTAATTCAATTTGTGAATGAGTTTTCGTGAGTTTTGCACAGTAGAGACAAAACTTTTAAGGCAACCAACTGCACTAAGAACATCTCATATTTGCCATCTTTTTAAAGCTGTATCAGCTATATTAGAGTAATAAACCTTTGTTACTTGTTTATAAATATCTGAGGTAAAGTCCACCCTTAAAGCACAGTGCAGTTTCATTTTAGGCACACCTATCATTCTTCATGTTATTTTAAGTGTGATGTCCAAAAGAATCAAGGTTTTCAAAATCACACTGTCTGTCCATGTAACTGTTGCTTTGTCTTTGCTCTTCCCAATAACCTTTGACTGATTATGAGAAATGTGACAGAGGTAGAAGTCACACAGATAATGAGCTTCCTACAAGCGTAATAAAAATAGTCAAGCAGATGAGGGTGATTTTATACATGGCACCTGTAAGTGCCACAGACAAAGGAAAAGCTGCAACATGAGCTCCCACATTTCAAACACAAGAGAAACCATATGGGGGAGACACTCACGGATTTACTCACTCGTAGTAAATGCTCTAACCAAGACAGAAGCTGCAAGCAAAGTGTAAAGCATACATCCTGGCAAAACAAACTACATCAGTTCCAGTATTTCCTAGCAAAGGGACCCTCCTACTTAAAGTGAAACTATTATCAATGTCTTGAATGGAAGCCAGACCAAGTCCCTAATTTGTAAATTCTAACAAAACCATTATTTCCTGTAGCGTTAACAGACCTCACATCACAGTGAAAGCTAATTTACAGTTATTAAAACAAATTAAGGCTCATTCTCCTTATATGATTATACCAAAAATAACAATCATGATAAAAATTAAAATGTTCAAGAGTGAATGTGTACATGTGTTCCCTTCGATTAAACCTGACCCCTGTCTCGGGGAGGGAATCATTATGACAATTCCTTTTTTCTTCTTGATACGTTTTCTATAATTCTTGTTACTTCCAAACCTTTTTCGTTGTGTAGCCTTCCTTTTTTACCCACACCTCCTGTTTAGTACCCTTCTGCAACCTCAAGCACAAACACCTCTACCCTACATAAGCAAAAAAAGTTCACTGCATGTAAAATTCCTGCTGGCCTGCACACCTAGGGGGATACAAACGAAATCAGAATACATGAATAAGTAACAGGCTCAAAGCTTTGCCTGAAGTGTTTTGCAAGATTCATCATAGTCATCCGTTCTCTTCCTCCTGTGCAGATCATCAGAACCCTTCCACTTTCAGGCTAGAGGGGGAAAAAAGAGCTTAGGTCAGGGAAAATGAAATATTGCTGTTATTGTGATGCCAAAAAGTGTTTACTAGGCAGTGAAGGAAACCTTAACCAGCTAGGCTGAGCATGCTTCTAACCGACCCTTCCAAAGGATAAAAGCAACCAACTTGTCATGACAGCAACAATTCTTCAGACAATTTAAAAATGTCTGTAACAAGTTTTAGGTTAACATCTTGTATATATTCAAATATTTTGGAAACAAATTAAACTCTTGCCAGTCCTGACAGTTTCTAAACTAATGCATACACATATCCCCAGACGAATCCTCCAAAAGAAAGAACAATCTGTGCACTTATATCCACAAAGAAGTGCAGCAGACACACGTGATAGCATAGTTATCATGTTGCTGTAGAAACCCTAGCCAAGTATTCTTTACCTTTGTGAGTAATTAAGAAACTAACTGTAAAGTTGCAATAATAAATCAGTCAGAGAAGAGCAGAACTAAAATGAATACAGGTAATACCAAACACTGTAGGACCTGCTTCTCCTTAGCGCTGGAGCTCTTTTGTTCTTACAAACAAAAGCTTAAATTGGTAAAGTTGCATTTAGCACCTTTTGAATGGTTTGGAGCCTGCTAAAGGAAGGCCGCTGTTTATTGGAGATATCTGAGATCTTGCATGGGAAGCAGAAACCACACTTTCTCTTTTAGATTCTAGTCACAACACAAGGTTGTGGAAATACAGATTCACTCATCAAGAAACCAGATTAACACTTCTCAGCCAAAAAATTAGTCAGGAAAAAAGATCCTATGGAGAGGTGAATCTACAGACTGGTACTACAGACAAATTGGCAAATAAAGGGTGCACGCTGTAACAGGCAGAGATGAACTTTGCCAAATATGAACAACACAGATTAAAAACAGTGGTAAATTAAAAAATAATACCTAACCCATGCTAACAACTGAAGAATATGAGACAAAGAGGCAAAACTAACTGACAACCCTTCTGGTAGAAAAAGGAAACCAGAGATGATCAGGTCATGCAGAACTCCGCACCGGTTGGGAATAAGCAGATTACTATTCAGAGCACATGGGGCTGGGATAAAGCTAAACCGTCAAAGACATTTCTCTTCACGGCATTTGTTTCCAGCCCCTTTGTTTCCCGCAGGCACGTCTGGGGCTCTCTCCATCCCTCTGTCTCCTCAGCCGCCGTGCGGGTCCGTTTTGTCCCCTTCTCTCCAGCTTTGCCTGTGCTCCTTCTGCTCTTTGTGAGGCTGGCGGAGCGGCCAGGGGAACCGCAGCCGCGGGGGCGAGGGCAAAGAAGGAGGCGGCTGGTAGTGGAGCAGCGGGGCGGGAGAGAGCTGCGGCGGGACCGCGACCAGGGACAAACCCGGGGGGCGGCCGGGGAGGTTCGGGGGAGGCGGCGGCGGCGCCGGGGACTGGTGGGGGAGCTGGAGGGAGGGCGGCAAGGGGTGTGCGGCGTGGGGGATTAGTGGGACGCCGCGGCCCCGCCTTCCCCCTTCGCATCCCAGGCGCGATGAGAGGGGGAGATGGACCCGAGCCGGCGAGACTGGCACCATGACATTCGCCGGCTTCGTGGTGGCACTGGTGATCGGGACGATCCCCGGAACCCGCGGGCTGGGGCAGGTCTCCGCCAGCCTCCCGGCTGCCCGCCACCCGCAGCCCCCGGCCCCGCCGGCGACCCCAGCTGGCTGCCCCGCCG